CGTAGTAGCTGTAGTAGCAGTAGTAGTAGTGGTAGTAGTAGTACTGGCAACAGTAGCACTAGTCGTGTAGTCGTCGTGGCAACAGTAGCAATCGTAGTAGAAGTAATCGTAGTCGCAGTGGTGGTCGTAGTCGTAGTGGTAGTAGTAGTCGTCGTCGCCGTAGTAGTAGTAGTAGTAGTAGCAGTAGTAGTAGTAGTCGTCGTCGTAGCAATAGTAGTAGTAGTCGTAGTAGCGGTAGTAGTCACAGTCGTCGTGCTAATGGTAGTAGTAGTCGTAATGGTGATAGTTCGTAGCGGAAGTAGTAGTAGGAGTAGTAGTAGTAGTCGTAGAAGCACTAAAAGTCGGAAAGGAACTAGTATCATAATTCGTAGTCGTAGAAATAGTCGTATTATTAGTCACAGCAGTAGCAGTCATATTCGTAGTAGTTGGATGTAGCAGTAGTAGTAATAGTAGTAGTAGTAGCAGTAGTAGTAGTAGTAGTAGCAGCAGCAGTAGTTGTAGTAGTTCTAGTAGTCGTAATGGTAGTAGGAGCAGTCCTAATAATAGTACAAGAATTCAGTATACATGTAGGTGTGTCGTTGGTGTTGCCGTCGTTGTCTCAGCAGTAACAGTCGCAGTAGAAGTACTAGTTGGAGTGGTAACAGTAGTAGTAGTAGTAGTAGTAGTAGTAGTAGTAGTCGTCGTCGTCGTCGTCGTCGTCGTCGTCGTCGTCGTCGTCGTCGTATTATTAGTGGTAGTAGTATCTGTGTTAGCGGAAGAAGTGGTAGTAGTAGTAGTAGTAGTAGTAGTAGTAGTAGTAGTAGTAGTGGTGGTGGTGGTAGTAGTGGCAACAGTACAAAAAGTTGTGGTCGTAGTAGTAGTAGTAGTAGCAGTAGTAGTAGCAGTAGTAGTAGTAGTCGTAGTTGTTGTAGCAGTAGTAGTAGTATTAGTAGTAGTAGTAGTAGTAGTAGTAGTAGTAGTAGTAGTAGTAGTAGTAGTACTTGTAGTAGCAGTAGTGGTAGTAGTAGTGGTAGTGGTAGTGGTAGTGGTAGTAGTAGTAGTAGTTGTAGTAGTAGTAGTAGTAGTAGTTGTTATTTTTGTTATTGACAGGAATAAGCATGGTCGGTTTAATCGGATGTGTAGTATTAGTAGTCGTAGTAGTAGTAGTAGTAGTAGTAGTAGTAGTAGTAGTAGTAGTAGTAGTAGTAGTAGTAGTGGTAGTAGTAGTAGTAGTCGTCGTAGTCGTTGTCGTTGTCGTTGTCGTCGCCGTCGCCGTTGTCGTGGTAGTAGTAGTAGTAGTAGTAGTAGTAGTAGTAGTAATAGTAGCAGTAGTAGTAGTAGTAGTAGTAGTAGTAGTAGTAGTAGTAGTGGTGATAGTAGTAGTAGTAGTAGTAGTAGTAGTAGTAGCAGTAGTAGTAGTAGTAGTAGTAGTAGTAGTGTGGTGGTGGCGGTGGTAGTAGTAGTAGTTAGTAGTAGTAGTCGTCGTAGTAGTAGTAGTTGTTGTTAGTAGTCGTAGTAGCAGTAGTAGTAGTAGTAGTAGTAGTAGTAGTAGTAGTAGTAGTTTTTGTAGTAGTAGGAGTAGTAGTAGTAGTAGTAGTAGTAGTAGTAGTAGTAGTAGTAGTAGTAGTAGCAGTAGTAGTAGTAGTAGTAGTAGTAGTGGTAGTAGTAGTAGTAGTAGCAGTAGTAGTAGTAGTAATAGTAATAGTGGTGGTAGTATTAGTATTAGTATTAGTCTTAGTACTAGTATTATTATTATTATCATTAGTAGTAGTAGTAGTAGTAGTCGTCGTCGTCGTCGTAGTAGTAGTAGTAGTAGTAGTAGTAGGGTGTAGTAGTAGTAGTAGTAGTAGTAGTAGTAGTAGTAGTCGTAGTCGTAGTCGTAGTAGTAGTAGTAGTAGTAGTAGTAGTAGTAGTAGTAGTAGTAGTAGTAGTAGTAGTAGTAGTAGTAGTAGTGGTGGTAGTCGAAGTGTTTGTTGCTCTTTTCGGCGGCGAGCCCGGGGGGAAGGGAGAAATGGCGTTCCTCGAAGACACCGGACATTTCTCACATGAGCCGGGGGCGTCTGAGAAGCCCCGCCGACTTGTGAGGGGGGCTTCTCCTTTTCGCTTCCCACTCTCACTCGCCGCCGATTGACGGTCACAACTATCACAACGACAACGATCAATACTCTTCTCCCGTCGCATTCGGTGCAGAGAGCACACGGCACGGATCCAAAGATGGCCTGCTCGGCGTGAATTCGGCGGCTATGTTCGCTTGAGCCTGGGCTCCGGGGACGGGGGGCGGCGGGGAGGGCGGGGAGAGGCCTGCGCGCGGCGGCGCGCAACGGCCACCACCTCGCAGCCGCCGCGCGGCCCCACGAGGTGCGGGCCGCCGCAGCAGGCACGGGTGGACTGCCTCGGTGGCGAGCGGTGGGGGGGAAGTGACAACCTGCCTCCCAGATGGGGTCCGAGTCCTCCTTCCTCCCCTGCAGCCCCCAGCCCAGTCCCCCTCGAGTAACTAATGAACGAATCATGACGGGAGGTTTTCCCCAGTTTTCGGCCTCCGGGGGCCTTCACCAGGCCTCGGGAGCGTCAAAAAAGCGACTCAGAATGCAGAGCGCGTCCTGGGGAAAGGGTCGGGACCTCTGGGGGTCGACGCAACGAAAAAAGCATGACGTCCGGGGTCTGGGAGCCCCGCCCCCTCCCCTCTGTCGGCTCTCCACCTCCCGCCTCCCAGGTTCCCAAGAAAAAAACAAGTCTAAGGTTGTTTCTAAACAGAAATTTACCGCCTGTTTTGAACACGGAAGCAATCCCTCTTACTTGCGCTTCACTTGCGCATTTACTTGCGCAAGTAAGCCCACACCGAAATACCCAACATCTGGGTAAAAGTCAACACCAAAAGGCTATTTCACAACCCATGCAGGCCTCCCGGATGGGGTCGAAAGCAGAGGGGGGCCGGACGCCATGTGAGGCGGCCTCCGGCCCCTGAGCGCCCGCGCAGCTCCAGGCCTCCAGGACGGGGTGCGAGCAGGTGGGGTCGGAGGCTCGCGCGGCATCGCCGGGTGCATCGCCGAGGCGGCTCGCTGTGGAGCCCGACCTGCTTCACGCCGACGTGGCCGATGCGTCGCCCACGTTGACGATGCATCGCTGGCGCGGTGCGCCGCCCACGTGGAGGGTGCATCGCCGATGCAGCGGCGAGGCGGCGCGGTCCTCCGACTCCGCCTAATTACCCAGACCCCCCGCGACACGATTTTGTCATGACGTCGACCCCCAGAGTGATCGACTCATTCCCCGGGACCGCTTTGTCACCCTGGGTCATCATTCGACGGCCACGGGGCCCCGTGAGGGCCCCCAGGGGCCGAAAATTCGGAAAGACTTCCCGTCGTCATTTTTGTCATTGCTCGAGGGGGTGGATGAGGCGGAGGCGGAGGGGGAGGAGGAGGAGGAGGAGGAGGAGGAGGAGGAGGAAGAGGAGGATAATAAAGAAAGCAGGGGGTCTGGGCACTCCGATCCTCCTCCGGGAGGCCTCGAGAGAAGGAGGCGGCGCTCGCAGCTGCGCAGCCGCCGCGCCGCCACGCGCAGGGCCACGGCCGGGGGGGAGGGGGGCTCGGCGGGGGCACGAGTGGGGTGCCCGCCGCTCTTCGCTCGCCCCCTGCTCGGCCTCTTCGGGCTACGGCCAGGTCGGGCATGTCCTCGCGAACGGACAGCACACACCCGTACCCATAGGGGGATCGTTGGGAGGAGGACTGGCTATGGGTATGGGCGCGGGTTGTCGGACCCTGGGGAACGCTCCCGTTCGAGCGGGGGCCCCCATTCGGCAGCACGCACCCATGGCCCTCTCCGACCCCCCTATGGGTATGGGTGTGGTGTGTTGTTGGTTCGTCATGTCCTCCGACAGGGCGGATTTTGGAAGGAGCATGACAAATAACCATCTCATATTCCCCCCCCCCCCAAAAAAAAGCAAGCATGAAGTCGTTCCCATATTAGGTTTTATGCTACGTTTGAGTATTCCTCCTGTAGAGGGGCATGCCCGACTGAGGGCTACGAGGAGCAGCGAGCGGCATGCGTAGACTCGGCGGCGAGCGCGGGGGGGAAGAAGTGAGAAGGAGGAGGCCTCCTCACCAGGCGGCGGGACTTCTCAGAAGCTCTCGTGGCTGCTGATAATTGTTGCCTGTGTCTTCTGGGAAGGCTTCGAAGACTTCTCGGGAGGCCGGGGGGCTTCCGAGCCTGCCGAGAAGGCCCGCCCCTTCTCGCTTCCCCCCCGGGCTCGCCGCCGAGAAGCCCTCGTGCCTGCTGAGAGTTGCTGTCTGTGCCTTCTGGGAAGGCCTCGACGCCCTCTCAAAAGGCCGGGGGGGCTTCCGAGCCTTCCGAGAAGGCCCGCCCCCTCCTCGGCTGCCGCCCCCCGTGCTCGGCACCGAGCTTCAGGTCACCGCCAGCCTAGGCCACGAGCAGGCTCTCCCCGACCTTGCTCTGAGCAGCGGCTACAACACCAGGGTCCCTCCGGAGCACCAGAGGGTCCTTGTCTCCGCGTCCGCGTCTTCCTGTCCAGCGCGTGCCCTGCGGAAGTTCCCGACCCCCCCGATGGCCCCGGGGATCCCGCAGAAGCCTCGGGGCACCTCAGGAGGTTCAGAATGTGACGGCAAACGTGTCCCTGGACCTCTTGCAGCAGAACGTCCTCCTCCCTCTCCTCCTCCTCCTCCTCCTCCTCCTCCTCCTCCTCCTCCTCCTCCTCCTCCTCCTCCTCCTCCTCCTCCTCCTCCTCTCCTCCCCTCCTCCTCCTCCTCCTCCTCTCGTCTCCTCTCTCCACCCTCCTCCCTCCTCCTCCTCCTCCTCCTCCTCCTCCTCCTCCTCCTCCTCCTCCTCCTCCTCCTCCTCCTCGTCCTCCCTCCTCCTCCTCCTCTGGCCTCCTCCTCCCTCCTCCTCCTCCTCCTCCTCCTCCTCCGCCTCCTCTCCTCCTCCCCTCCTCCTCCTCCTCCTCCTCCTTCTCCTCCTCCTCCTCCTCCTCCTCCTCCTCCTCCTCCTCGTCCCCCTCCCCCTTCCCGCAGGACTACGAGGCGTCCTTCGACGGCAAGGCCCCGAAGAACTGCGTGGAGAAGCAGGACTTCGGCCTCTGGGGCGAGGACCGTGCCCGGCGCCGCGCGGCGCCCGCGCGCCGGTGCGGGGATCGCGCGCCCTGCCACTGCTGTTACGGGTCGGTCCCTCTGGCCATGTCCTGCTGCTGCTCCTCCTCCTTGGCCCCTCACCAGAGAAACTCCTTCCTCCTCCTCCTTCCTCCTCCTTCTCCTCCTCCTCCTCCTCCTCCTCCTCCTCCTCCTCCTCTTGCTCCTCCTCCTCCTCCTCCTCCTCCTCCTCCTCTGGCTCTGTCCTGCTGCTCCTCCTCCTCCTCCTCCTCCTCCTCCTCCTCCTCCTCCTCCTTGCCCTCCTTCCCACCAAAACCCTCGCTCGCTCTACGGCTGAAAGGTGCTACCACATTCGGCATGCACAGGGGGGTGCCAAGCGGGCACGAGGCCGCCATGGCCCACCGGGGAGGAGCTTCCCCTCCTCCACAGAACGGGAGCGGGCCCGCTCGCGGGCCTGGCAGCCCAGGTCCTCGGCTTCAGCCTCGGAGAGACCTCAAAGGGCCGAACCCCTCTGGAGGTCAATCCCTGGGGCCCCACTCCTCGTTCGAAACACCGAAGTCGAGACACGCGCAGGCGACGCCTAGGCCTCACTCCTACCGAACTCCTCGACCGCCTCCAAGAAAGGCCTCCACTGGGCCTTCCCAGCTTCACACAGGCCTCCAGCATCGTGAACCTTGAAGGGCGACAACGGGAGCGGGTGGCAACCCTGAGAGATCATCACAAGGTTCTTCACGCCCGTCTGCGTGGGGGGCTTACAGTGCACCAGGAGCTTACAACGAGACTCGGCACGTGCTCTCGACTCCCACGATACATTGCTCCCACAAGTGCCACAATAAATCATAGAAGCAACTTGCACATCCCCATCCCAAACAACAGCACGACGGATAGCATGCCCACACCACAGCCATGGCGACGGCATGAACTCATCAGGCTCTTCTTCAGGAGCCCGCTCATCCTGCTGGACATCCGCATCCACACAACACGAAGGGATGGGTAGTCCTGGAATCTGCTCGAGCTTCATCTTGCTCATCCACTCGAACCCGACATGATCTCGACAAGATGACTGCGACAACCATGTCTGCTGGAGACCACCGAACCTAGCGACACGCTTCGCCATGACAACCCTCAAGGAGAAGAAGGTCTTTCTCGGCCGCTCGAATCGGTTGAGCACCTTCTTTGGCAAGACGGTCCGCTTCTTGATTGCCTCTCCAATCTCGATGGGGGCATTTTTCCATCACGCATAGCATAGTAGGGCAGGTGGGACTTCACTTTGGCAAACTTGACCCCTTGTAGGCGATCACCAATCTAAGCCCACCAGTGGGCTCTCGGCTCCGACGCCCACGACAACGAAGAGGCCCCAAGTAGCGCAGCACACCCTGAGGTACCAGAACAGTCAATATGCACCGTCGTACCTGCGGCCGCGACAGCGTTCCTCGATAGCATCAACCCAGCAAAATCCGTTCCATCTCTTGCAATCGATCTGGTTATTCCAACAGTGGGACGATACCGAATAGTGCGGAAACAATCTCCCCACTATAACCAGACGCCCCCATTGACCATTCTGCAACACGTGGGGACGGCCACAGCATCTCGAAACCCGAACCGTCCGTGTACACATGCTGGTCCGCTGAAGTCGACAAACCTACTCTGGGCCAATGGATCCTCATAGTGTAAGGGTCCTCCGCGACCCTTTCAGATCTGCGAAAAAACGAACCGGCCTGGGTCAGGAAACAACCCTCGGCAGAACAGCTGGTCCCCCAAGTATGGCTTCGAAACACGGTTGGCAGCCCTGAAGACCGTCTCGTCCAAGTATTCCCGCCTCCAGGCATCTCGTAAACACCAAGGCTTCGTGCCCCAGGAGAGGCCACATCTATAGGACATACGTACAACACCTAGGGTTGGAGTGATAGGGGGCAATCTATATGGACATACGTAAAACGTCAAGGATTCGACCTGAACGCAGACGAGCCTGGCCACCAAAACAGGCAAACCGCTCGAGACATCCTCGCAGTCCTGCCCCTCTGTGATGCGAAAGCCAGCGCCTCACCCCAGGCATCCTCAGAGCATGCTCTGAACGCTGACGAATCTGGTCACCCAAACTCGCAATCTGGGCCTCCTGGGGTGCGACAACCAGCGCCTCGCCCGAGACATCCTCAAACTCTGCACCGAAAGCGAAGGGAATTCAGGGCTCGAACAGGAAAACCGCTTGAGACATCCCCGCAGTCGAGGCCCCCCCCTCGGGGGTGCGAAAACCAGCGCCTCGCCAGAGTCATCCTCAACATCTGCTCCGAAAGCGGATGCTGTTGAGGATGCAGACAGGCAAGCCGCTCGAGACATCCCCGCACTCTGGGCGCGAACGGGAGAGTGATATCCACCCTGATGGCCCCCCTTCGGGGTGCTGAACCCAACGCCTCGACCGAGACATCTTCAAATCTGGTCCGCCGTGATTATCATCATCAGCATCAGCAGCAGCAACAGCAACAGCAGCAGCAGCAGCATGGGCATCATTAGCATCATCCTCAGCAGCATCACCACCATGGTCGCCATCAACAGCATCAGTATCATCATCGTCCTCATCAGTATGATGACCATCGGCAAATCTGGTCATCAGCACCGCCATCATCATTATATCATAACCTGAGTACTAGCCATGAGCGTGACTCTAAGTGACACTGAATCGTGAGGAGGAGGAGGAGGAGGAGGAGGAGGAGGAGGAGGAGGAGGAGGAGTGTGTGTGTGTGTGTATTTTCGTGCGTGCGTGCTCGGCGCGGCCGAAGTAATAACGGGAATCCCATCCTCAGTATTTGGGGAATAGCAAGGGCCCCATCTTAAAGATATGGGGCTCGACAGTGCTAAGCTGTATAGCATCATGGCGACCCTCATCACCGTCATCATCATCGCCATCATCAGCATCATCATCATCATCATCATCATCAGCATCAGCATCAGCATCAGCATCAGGATCATCACCATAAGCATCACCACCACCATGCTCCACCATTATCATCAGCAGCAGCATCATCACCAGCATCACCATCATCATGAGCATCCTTATCATCATCCTTCTCTCGTGAGGAAAGAGGAGGAGGGAGGTGAAGGAGGAGTCGGCGCGGTCGGAGACGTAACAAGAAACCCATCCTTAGGATATGGGGAGCAACATATTCAAGGCCAGAGCAGCTTACGGGCAGAGACGTATGCACCGAGGCAAAATCAAACGAGAACATATACAGTGGGACAGCAAAAAGCGGGATGGGAGTGATCATGAGAAGTAGGGGGGGGACATTGGGACATGTTCAGGGGCGGAGAGAGAGAGAGAGAGAGAGAGAGACAGAGAGCGAGGAAGAGAAAGAGAGACAGAGAGAGAGCGTGGACCGTCACGCTCCCGCAGGAGGAGGAGGAGGAGAAGGGGATGAGAGAGAGAGAGAGACAGATAACGAAGACTTATAGAACACGAATGCGACAGACGAAGAAGAAACAGAAACTGAAGACGATGAATAGTACGCAGAAGAGGCGAAAGGTATAATCCCTTGGGGGGCTGTCCATATATATATGTGTGTATATATATATATATATGTACAGAGCGAGAGAGCAGAGAGAGAGAGAGAGAGTGCCAGTGGGAGAGGGCGAGGGATCGGGGAGTCGAACGATTCGACTCCCCCCAGACAGACTCTGCGCTTGCAGCATGCGCTCGCACCTGCTATCGAGAGAGACCTGCGCCTCTTCGTCGCAGGCGGCCGCTCCACGTCGGCGCCCTGGGTCCGCTTCTGGCCCGGTGCTCGGCGGCCCCCTTCCCAGCTGCTTGGCATCGCTCGGACGTGTGCATTTTCCCTTCGGCGAGGGCCATCGAGGAGCATCCTTGATCATTTGGTGAAAAAAGCACGCACGAAACCGAAACAAATACAGGGAATGGGCGTCCGAGCGATGGCGAGGCTGGGGCCCGATCGTGGCCAGAGGTTTGCGCCCGAGTGCTGGGCTTCAGGGCAGCGGTCGGATGGAGAGGGAGGGGGGCCACGGGGGAGGAGGGAGGAGGGAGGGGGGATAGGGGGGAGGGGGGGCAGGGAGGAGGCCAGGAGGGAGGGAGGGACGAGAGCGAGAGCGAGAGTGGGAGCGAGGAGAGGAATGAGCAGGGGGAGGAACTGGAGGAAGAGGAGGAGGATAAGGAGAATATTGATAATAAGGAGGAGGAGGAAGAGATGGAGGAGGGAGGAAGGAGGAGAAAGGAAGAGGACGAGGAGGAGGAGGAGGCAGAAGCTGGCCAGGACATGTTCCTGGGCCAGTGCCTCGACAAGGTGCTCGAGGCGCGACCGGGTCGGGGTTTGCGGGGGGGCGCCCCGCATGGCTCCTGGGCCCCTCGTGCTGTGGAGATGTGGAGACGCAAGCATGCTCGCGACGTCAGAGTCAGGATGCGAGGTAAACGAAGCAAGCAACAAAGCACGGGCGCGAGGCTTTTTTTGGCCAGGCTTCGGCCCCGAGGGGCCCTTGCCAGGCTCCGGGGCCGTCAGGGAACGGCCCGGGCCGAGACGCGGGTCCCGGGGCAAGGGTCGGGATTCCCAGGGACCCCGCATGGGAACGATCAGGACGTCGCACGCCTGTGGACAGGAGGCTTCTGGCCAACGTGACTGCTCGCTGGATGGTCCCACCTCCAGCCAGTTGGACTCAATTCCGGCTTGCCGAGGAGCCATCCCCGCCACGCCAAGCATCGTGCATCCAACACCAGACACAGCACACCAACTCCCGAACACCAAGCACCAAGCACACAGTCCACGTACAGCAATCGCAGGACGCCAACCCCCAAACTCCGCAGTGACCGAACCCCGAGCCCCGAATCCCGAGCACCGAGCGCCAAATGGGAGGGAGGGCGACGGGGCCACCCAGGAGCGTGCGCAGGCGCAACGTTGCGGCGTGTCGGCCAGACTCCGTCGAGACCTCGAAATGGCTTCATGTTTACAGAGCCCGCCCACCGCAGAACTCTTCCACGTCTGAGCTTGGCATCGCTCGGACGTGTGCATTTTTCCTTCGGCGAGGACCATCGAGGAGCATCCTTGATCATTTGGCGAAAAAACCACGCACGATGCCGAAAAAAACACAGGGAATGGACGTCGGAGCGATGGCCAGTGAGCTCCCTCCCCCTCCACCCCTCGCGCGGCCGCCCTCGCCTTCGCCTTCTCCCTCATTGCACGCCGGACCGTCTGCCCGTCGGTCGCCCCGACTCGCCCCGCGCTGGTGCGGACTGCCTCTGCCTCGCCGCCGGCGGCAGGCGAAGTGTGCAGAGCCCGGCTTCGCCGCGGCCGCGTCGAGCGGGAGAGGCCGAAGAGTTGCGGCGCGCGGCGCGCCCGCCGCGGCAGCGGGCGCGGGCAGCGAGGTCGTCGCGGTCCTCCGGGGTCTCGTTTTCGTTCGAGCTCCTCTGAACCTCCTCGGGCTTGCCCCAGCTGGTCTTGCCCTCAGTGGCCCAGCCGTTCTAGGCTCGTGCAGGCTGCACTTGTTGCCCCCCCTCCTTCCAACTCTCTTCCGCCCCTGAGTGGGCGGGCAGCGGGCCGCGAAGCGACGGAACTCACACAGAGCGCCATGCGGAAAAAACGGCCCTCTCCCCACCCCTTCCCGAGCATAGGGTGTGGCTTCAGCCGGAGAGTCAGTATTTGGTGCAAAGAGCCATGTGGTGTCATCGGTCGCGGGGCCCTCTGCCTGGCCTTTGCGCCTTGCAAACTGCCGTCGCTTCCATCGCCTAGCAAAGCTTTACGCAGCACAACTCGGCATTGCACACCTGTGCGTGCACAAAGACGATAGCGTTACGCTGCTGGATAACTACCGTAGCACTGCATCGCATATGCCATACCAGTTTGAAGCGTGCTGGGGTGTGCTACCCTCTGGTTGAACGCATGTGTATGTTGCTGCCCTTCGTTATTGAGCGTGTGGTATTCCTTTATCCTCTCCCCCACCTCACCGAAGGAACGCGACCCATACTATAGCAACGCATGACGCAGTGGCGCAACTCAACGCATGGCAAAGAAAAGACGCGCACACGGTATAGTGCGATAGCGAGCCATCACGTGCCACAACACAGCATAGCGTAACACAACAACGTTGACAAATGTCAATATCACGCAAGGCACGCGAATGCAGAGCAACATAAGTTATAACCAAACACATGAGCTTATAGCCTTGCGCAGCAAGGGAGCCACATGCAAAGCAATGCCAAGCATAGCAGTCAGGACAAGAAGCTATCAAATGGCCCTCGACACTTGCGTGTTTGCACGCGCACGCGCGTGCGTGTGCGTATGCGTGTTTGTGTGCATGTGCGTGCGTGCGTGTCTGCGCGTGTGTGTGTGTATGTGTGTGTGTGCGTGTGTGTGTGTGTGTGTGTGTTCGTGTACGTGTGTGTGTGTGTGTGTGCGTGTGTGAGCGTGCGTGCAAGCGTGTGCGCGTGCGTGCAAGCGTGTGTGTGTGTGTGTGTGTGTGGTGTGTGTGTGTGTGTGTGTGTGTGTGTGTGTGTGTGTGTGTGTGTGTGTGTGTGCGTGCGTGCGTGCGTGCGTGCGTGCGTGCGTGCGTGCGTGCGTGCGTGCGTGCGTGCGTGCGTGCGTGCGTGCGTGCGTGCGTGCGTGCGTGCGTGCAAGCGTGTGTGTGTGTGTGTGTGAGTGTGTGAATATGTGAATGCGTGTGTGTGTGCGTGTGTGCCAGAGTGAGCCAGGCCGCCGCGCGCACTGCTTACGGTTCCTTCACCTCGCCGCCGCGCGCGGGGTCGCTGCCGTCCAACAGGTGCGTGCGTGGGCGTGTGCGTGCGTGGGTTCTGCACTGCCCCGTCGGCAACGCTCGATCGCAATTCGCACTTCAAATTGCTGCTTGCGCTTGATGACCGTTGGCGCCGCTCGCTCAAAAGTGTACGTGCGCGCGTCTGCGCGTGCTTGTGAAGGGGGGGGTGGTGCGTGTTCGTCTGTGCGTCTGTGCCCGCGCGACGGTGTTGCATGTGCTTTTCAACGTTCGACGGTAATCACTCTTGCCGCGTCCCGTTTTCGTTCCCGCTGCTTTGGACCAACCTGCCGCGAAGGGAACCGTGTAAGTGGATGATGTCTGCGCGCAGTCACAAGCGAGTGCCACGTTCGGCAGACGACTGGCCCGCCATCGGTGTAACATTTGGACTTGTTTAGCTTCAGGGTAGTAAGCGGTTCGGAAGTCTTCAGCGACCCGGCCCGCCCGGCCTACGGACACGTCTTATGGTGCGAAGGGAGAGAAAGAGAGAGAGAGGGAGAGAGAGGTGGAGGTAGCTTCTTTCACACTAAAAAGAGAAATCATGGAGGAGAGGGGAGCAGGCAGAAGCGAACAGGAGGGAAGGGAAGAGGGGCAGGGCAAGGGGAGGGGATGAGACGGATGCAGGGGGAGGTGGCCGTGGGGATGTTTCGCGATTGCCCTGCAGCCGGCACGACGCCTTGCGGCTCCACCGTTGAGGAGGACGCGGAGTGAGGAAAGGAGGGGGGAGAAGAAGGGACCAGGTACAGCGAGCGCCCATTCAGGCCATCGCGAGTCACTGCAATGCCCCCCCCCTACCCCGGACGAGAGGTCGGCGACAGCCCCGTGGACCCGCGGGTGTTGTGCGAGGATCACTGCGACTGCCCTGCGTGGTATTGGTGCCAGGACCCAAGTCGCAGATTGGCCTCTTTGACCGGATCTTCTTGGTACGACCTGCCATGACCATGACCATCAGCAACTCTACGAATTGCGTTTGCCGGATGTCTCGTGCACGACGGCAGTTGGGAGGCATTGTGCACAGCATACATACGGCGAGGGGGAGAGAGTCGATCTCAGTCAATTGCCTCATTCCCATGCCCCCGCCGTGCGCTTGTCTCCTTCGCACTCCCCCTCCCTGGCCATTCCCTTCTTCCTCCACGCGCTTACCTCCCCGTTCCCTCCCAGGCAACTCCGTTCTCCTTCTCCCTCTCACGCTCCCCCCCCCCCTTTCCCGTCCCCCCCCCTCTTGCCATACTGCTTTCCCTCCCGCTTCTCCCCCCCCGTGGCCAGAACGGCACCGACCGCGTGAGCTTCCACCCCTTCAAGACGGTGGGCGCCTACAAGAACTGCATGGCCAACGCCGCGGGCCCAGCGGAGCCACGGCGGCCGGCGCGGTCCATGACCGCTGGCAGCGACTGGAGGATGACGAGAGGAATGAGGAATGAGGAGGAAGGAGGAGGAGGAGGAGGAGGAGGAGGAGGAGGAGGAGGAGGTTCGAGGTTCGAGGTTCGAGGTTCGAGGTTCGAGGTTCGAGGCTCGAGACGGGAGCCCCCCTGAGGCCTCTCGGGGGGCACCAGGGACTGGGCCTATCTGGGATGCTTTACTCGGGCGTCGCTTGGTGCCAAGCACGTGGCTCCCCTCAAAGACAGGCCGCAGGGAAGAGCGACGACAGGGGGCACGGCCCGACGAGCCAGACGGGGCGAGGGCCCGAGGACGCGAACTGGGCCGACCGGAGCGCACAAAGCAGGGCCGCGAGACCTCGGACAGGGACAGGCCGGCAAGCTTCAAACAGGGGCAGGCCACCCTTGCCAATCGACTAGACGTAAGAGTGACCTTTCGCCGGAGTGACCTTTGGTGCGGGCGCAATGGGGTTCCCCGATCGCCGAACGCCATGCGATGGTAGCGCCTTGCGCGCCTGTGTTTGGTCCCCCCGCGGCCCCCAAAAAGCCGCGCACCAAAGGTCACTCTTACCCAGGGTCACTCCTGCGTGTAGCCGATGCCAAGAGTTGGCCACGCTTAGCATGGGGGTTGGCGGGAGGAGGGGGGAATGCTTCCCAGAACCGCTCCCCCTTAGGAGGCGCGGGCGCCCCTTTTCTCAGGAGCCGGCGGTTGCTTCTCAGAAGCTGTTCCTGGCGTGCTTCCAAGAAGCGCATAGAAGCTGTTCCTGGCGTGCTTCTAAGATAGGGGAACAAAAAGTGGCATAAACATAAACAAACTCGGAGGTCCGCGCGGATTTCTCGGATCGGCGCTGGACCCCCCTCCCTGGCGCGCGGAGCGCGCCAGGGGCGGCGCCGGAGGCGCCGCCAGGGGGCCCCAGCGCCGATCCGAGAAATCCGCGCGGACCTCCGAGTTTTTATGTTTATGTCATTTTTTGTTCCTCTACAAGAAGCGAGCGGCTTGCTTCTGGGAAGTTGCTTCGTGCTTCCAAGGGGCTGGGGGGGCTTCCAGCAAGCGGCGCGCCCCTGGCTTTGAAAGGGCAGCGGGCGCCTCCTGAGAGGCAGACTCCTTCTGAGAAGGCTTCCCCCTCGTTCTACCATTAGGTCGGGCATGTCCCCCTACAGGGGGAGGAAGAAAAACACACAGACACAGTGAGTCGTGGATCCCCCAGAAAATATAGGAAGATATGGGAAGTGGGGGGGAAGACGAAAATCCAACAAATATGGAAACATATGCGGAATCTGTTTTTTTTTGTGTGCATTTATTTGTGTGTCCCAGGGCCCCTTCACCTTCGGGCCTGCACTCTCCTCCCCGCCCGCCTCCCTCGCACTCGCCGCCCTCCACAAAGCCTTAAGTCGGGCCTGTCCCCCTACATGGGGATTTGCGACGAAAAATAAAGCATGCCCCAAAAATACCCCAGAAAGGTCAAATAATATTCAAGAAAGAGTCCCCAGAGTATTTTTTGGACTACGTTTTGATTCTTTTTGGGGTATGTTTTATTTCTCGTCGAAAATCCCCCTGTAGGGGGGACGCGCCCGACATAAACAGAGCCCCGGGCTGCGAGCGTGGCTCGGGCGAACCAGGCCAGAGCACCTCGCGCGCGGCGCCCCCGAGATCCGGAGCGGTGAGGACGTCTCGGGCGGAACGGACCAGACCGCCTGGAGGCCTTCTCGCTCCTCCACCTCGCTCCTCGCTCCTCGCTCCTCGCTCCTCCTCCTCGCTCCTCCTCCTCGCTCCTCCTCCTCGTTCCTCCTCCTCGTTCCTCCTCCTCCTCCTCCTCCTCCTCCTCCTCCTCCTCAAAGTCGCGAGGCCTTCTCGGGCGAAGCGGGCGGGAGGGTACCTCTCGCACGGCCAGGGTTCGGAGGGCGCTTCCAGCAAGGCGGCGGGCGCCGGCCAGCACTGCGAGGATGTCTCGCACGAAGCGCCGGGAGCTGGTTCTCTGGCTGGAGAGGGCTCTCATCTCAACTGGGCCCCAGGAGGAGTACTCAAAATTAGTAAACAAATAGTCAGGGGACCATCTTTTGAGCATTCGTTGAACATGTTTTAGTGTTTGGGGGGGGCATGTTCAGTTTTTCGTCCAAACTCCCCCTGTGGGGGGACATGCCCGACCTAACACAAGTGCTTGTACGTTGGCATTCTGCCCATCCTCGCGGCGTGCCTGGCTCGTTGACCCGAGGCCTCTGACGGGCCCCTTGGGGGTCTCTCGGGAGGACTCCAGTAGGGGGCCTCTTGGAGGCTTCTCTCTTGGGCGTCTCGGCGGGCCGTGTGGCCTCCTGGCTGGGGACTTCTTGCGGGCCTCTCGGGGGAGCTCCCCCGGGGTCTGGATGCAATCCATGGTGGACATCTTGGGACGGACAGCGTTCAGTCGGGCCTGTCCCTCTACAGGGGGAATATCCCAAAATAGTATAAACAAATAGTATGGGAACATTTTTTGTTTTGTCATGTTTGATGATTTTTCGAATATGTTGGGGGTCGTTTTCATTTTCCGTCCAAGATGCGCCTCTAGGGGGACATGCCCGACCTAAGCACAGCTGCGGATGTCAGCTCGTGCTCTCCCTCGTGGTGGCCCTGGAGCCTTTTGGGGGCGAGCCTGGGGGCCCCTCGGCCCGCCTTACGGGCGCCCTCCAAGGTCCGAAAAGCTGTGCACACCGAGAATCCTGCCTGCAGAAGCGCCTGGGGCCTCGTGGGGCTG